GGTCCATGCTGCCAAGGACTCATCAATCCCAAACATTGCTAATTTGCTAACAGTGTCACGTGGCAGGTTCGTATCAAATGTTTTCCATCGTTAGGAAAAATTTAACATTTACAGGGTAAATGTTTCACCAGCAGATCACTGGAGAATTTTGAGCTCACAAAGTGTATCACATTTGGTCGCTTTCATAGAATCATAGAATCCCTACAGTGTGGAAACAGGCCCTTCGGCCCAACAAGTCCACACCGACCCTCAGAGCATCCCATCCAGACCTGTACCTCTATAACACAGCAATCTGCACATCCCTGAACACTACAGGCAATTTAGCATGGCCAATCCACCTAGCCTGCACATCTTTGGACTGTGGGAGGCAACTGGAGCACCCAGAGGAAATCCACGCAGATAAGGGGAGATTTGCAAACTCCATACAGAAAGTCACCTAAGGGGGGAATTGAACCCGGGTTCCTGACACTGAGAGGCAGTAGTGGTTACCACTGAGCCACCGTAAATAATTAGTGAATTGATTTGAAGCTAGGTTTTTATACCTTCACCGAAGTATTTAGTGAAAAGCATCAACGCTCTAGATTTATTTAAGTGTTCCAGTATCTCTATTAATATGAAGTTATGAAATAAAAACAGAAATTGCTGGAAAACTCCGGTCTGGCAGCATTAGTGGAGAGAAATCAGAGTTCGCATTTTGGGTCCAGTGACCCCATCAAAACTGAACTGAACTGAACAGTTCTGAAGAAGGGTCACTGGACATGAATTGTTAACTCTGATTTCTCTCCACTAATGCTACCAGACCTGAGTTTTTCCAGCAGTTTCTGTTTTTGTTCCTGATTTCCAGCATCTGCAGTCGTTTGGTTTTTTATGTAGTTGTGAAATGTCTATGCCAAATTTGTGTTTCTTGAGGCACTGTCTCGTGCTAAAATTCAGAAGGTCTGATTTAATGTTAAGGGTGTCATGTTTCTTGATAAAGTTTCAGTGGCAGTGTGCAAGGTTGTGTGCTAGATATAATTTAAGTAAGAAAGGAAAAACAGATTTGCATTTGTATGGAGTCTGTCACATTCAGAAACTTAGCAGCAATTTACCAAAGTGTTTTTAACAAACATAAGACAGACTTCAGAAGTTAATTGTATGGGCAGGATTTCCCTAAAATACTAGCTTTTTCTTTTGGATGGCTTTTTGATTTTACTTTTTTTTTGTTGCCCAGCATGAGCTGGTGCTCTTGAATGTTTTGAAAGTCCTTTTTGGATATTATAAGCACGCACTGTCAAATGTTTTCAGGTCTTGAAACAATAAACTCAGCTTCTTAACTTGCAGTCGAATTTAACCGCACTGGGTTAAGAGGGAAGATATGACGGTTGGGAGAACATGTAAATCTTTGACTAAGGTATGGCCTGCTGTTGTCAGTTCCTTCAATGATATGCTACGTGGCCAAGCGATGCCCAGTTTGTTAAGTTGAAACTAACTTTGCACCAGTCTCCTCCCAGGGTTTTGGTGCAGTCCCTATCTTTGAGTCAGGAGTCCCAGGTTCAAGACCCATCTGTTTCATAAAATATGCAATAACAGCTCTGAACAGGTTGATGAGAAAATACTTATGCCAACCTTCTGGGTTCACTACCGTCCAAAATCAGGCAAATTTCTAGAGTTGCAACGGATGCTATCCTCCCATTATGCCAAGATATCTCTGTTCACAATGGCAGCGACAGTGGGGATACTAACATTCTGCTCCTGAGTGTGGGGCTGAGCTGTTCGTGGCCTCTGCAACAGGTTTGGCTGCATTCACCTGGGTTAGTCATTGCCTTTCCAGCTCGGTAGCTTGATTGTGTTTTTAATTTTGGCTTTGGTTGCCTTGGGGTGTCATCCGACAGGAGGCCAGAGTTCAGTGTATCTTCAATCCCACTCCATCTTGGGTGGCGGCATCAAAAGACGAACCAAGACCCTGTTAGTTGACATCCAGCATCAGAGGAGGTGTGGGACCCACGCAGCATGACGGTCTACAGCTTGGAGGTGATGGACACGGAAGCAACAGCGCTCGTGGCAGCAAGAAAGGAGCACATTGCAAGGACTCTGGGGATGATGCCGGATGGGGGCAACTAGAGGAGCAGAAGGAATGAAGACTACAGAGAGGGAAAGATGAACTTTTGAAGATGTTTCAGTTTTAATATCAATTTAATAATCTATTCAGTATTTTAACCTTGTATAAATATTTATTCAGTATTTTATTCTGTAATTCAAGATGGTGCAGGAGTGTGGCGACATTATACACTTTTCACTGCAGCTAGGTACAAGTGACAACATTAAATAAATCAAAATACTACAGATGCTGGAAGTCAGAAACAAACACAGACAATGCTGGAGAAACTCAGCAGGTGTGGCAGCCTTTGTGGAGAGAGAAACAGTTAATGTTTTGAGTCCAATCTGACCTCTTCAGAAAAGATTCTGATTAAGAATCATACCAGACTTGAAATATTAACTCCTGTTTCTCTGTCTACGGATACTGCCAGACTTCCAGAGTTTCTACAGCATTATGTGTTTGCACCAGCCTCCCATGTTCTCTTGTTTGATAGTTTTGTTTTCTCCAACATGAGTAGAAACCATCACAAGGGCTCAATTTTTTCCATGAGCTATTCGACAATACAGGTATTTCTCCTATACCACAATAGTTGTGTTCTCGTGTGACCTCACACTGTAGAAAATCGCCATAGAAAATCACGTTATAGGGAAATAGCTGTACGGTACAGTAAAAAGTTCGCGTTACCCCAACAGCGTCCACTATTCATCAATTGCATTACAGCCAGTTCGCGTGAACATAACGTGTTATAGCAGAAATAACTGTGTTGAAATGTGCTGTCTCAATTTGTGTAGTGTGTAAAGAACACAAGCTGTCTGTTGTCCTGTGTTGAAGTAATTAACTACCATTTGCTGAGTCCAAGTTGTCTGGATTTCATTAACTTACAGAAACCTACAATTTTCACTGATGGTTTGGAAAACAATTCTTCCATCACCACCAGAGCTGGATGTTGAAATGTCCACTGCTGGAAATGCACCTTGTTTGGCCATCTAATTACGTAAAACCAAGTCATACTGTTAGGGTCCCTGTTTCAACTATGGAGTAATTAGAAAAACACTACCTTTTGGCTGACTGAAATTGCAGGACAGGATACAGATGGTTCACTCACAAAATGATGTGAACTGAAAGCTAATTGGATAAAATGCAGTTTGTGTTGTCTGAAGTTTTTTCATAGTGCCATTACTTTCTATGGTACCAACTTCAAAAGTCACCAGTGCAGCAATGAAATGATGTGCTGACAAGTTTCAGGTTGCAGATAACCATATGACTTGGCTTGTGACAGCCCTGGCTTAGAAATTCACCGCAGTGTCATTATAACAGGCTGTGCTACTCTCTTGACTCTCAATTGGCCCAAATGTTTCAAAGACCGTCATTGTCAGTTTGGAGGCTTGCTGTCAGTGTTTGTGAAGGGCATTGTGGGGAAAAATGGCATTTTTGACAGGCTTGCTCTGTCTTGCCATTTTTTTCCAAATGAATGAAACTTGGGAAAGATGTGACAATCTGACAGTTACCAGGATGTTGCTGGAAATGGAGGATTTGAGTTATAAGGAGAAGCTGGATAGGCTGGGACTTTTTTGACTGGAGCGTAGGAGTTTGAGAGGTGACCTTATAGAGGTTTATAAAATAGAGGGGTATAGATAAGATGAATGACAGGTGCCTTTTCCCTAAGATTAGGGATTTCAAGAGGTGAGATTTTAAGGTCAGAGGAGAAAGATTTAAATAAGACATGAGGGGCATTTTTTTTACACAGTGGTTTGTGTGTGCACTGAATTTTGAGAGGGAGTGGTGGATGTGGGTACAGTTAGTCTTTAAAAGACATTCTGAGAAGTAAATGAATAAAAAAATGTTAGGAGGGATATAGGCCAAGTGCAGGCAGGTGGGACTAGTTTAGTTTGGGCTTATGGTTGGCATGGATTTGTTGGACCAAAGGCTCTGTTTCCATACTCTGACTCTAATTATGAGTCCATATGCAATCAATAGGAAATTTGCATTTCAGGTTTTGGAGCTCACGACTGGGTGGATGGGGATTCTAATTACTAACAGTTTTTAGAATTCAGTACATTTTAAGATTACTATAATTATGGAGTTTTTTAGCGTTGAATATTAAACATCAGTAGCATTATACAGCATCATATTGTCACAATTGTTGCGTAACTTCAACATATTTCAGAGTGAGGGGGGAATTAGGAGATGGGATTAAAAGCTTGATCAGCAATGGGTTTTCATGAACCACAAAGAGAAAAAGAAATGCAGAGAAGCAGCAAAATTGAGTGAAAAATGGAGAATACAGCATGGTGGCAGACAGCTCTGCCATCAACATATGGGCAATGGAAGGGAACAAGTTGCATAAAAGACTGAAATAAGGTATAGAATACAATGGGTGGGATGTAGGGTTGACGAGGATTGCAACATATGGTGCTGCTAAGCCGTAGATTTAGTGCAGTGGGGATTGCGTAGCTAGTTTATGCCCTTGATATCATGAGTAAAGATTCAGATTTGATACTGGCAGAGATAACTATATATGTTTTGGACAGTTTGGAATTTTGGAAGGTTGTTAGTGAAAGACCAGGAAGGAATACTGAAAATTAGTCAGAAAAGCTGTTGAGATAATGGGGTAAAATAGACAATGTTGTACAAATGCAAGTAATGGACTTTGATAGAATTTAAGTTATGAAACTCGGCATGCAATGTGACGTGCATCATGGGTGATAGGTAATTTATCTGAATTTGTGCAGAGTTTGTCCATTTTGTCTGTCTATTATGAACACGTTTGAAACTTGATCACTATTTCTGTTTATTGTGCAAGGTGTTGCCGTCCTATCTAGTTGTGTAAAATATCACATGCAAAAAACGCTTTGATACAAGACGATTCTTCTGAGTTGTTGCAAGTAATATGTTTAATATACTTTCAATGAATTTATTTCAGTGCTGGTCCAAAAGGCGACAATATATATGAGTGGCGATCTACCATACTAGGTCCTCCTGGTTCAGTTTATGAGGGAGGTGTTTTTTTTCTGGACATCACTTTCTCATCTGATTATCCATTCAAACCACCAAAGGTAATTCTTCATGTTACATTATTTAAATACATTTCAAATAGTTTTGAGTGGTTGACTGTACGATATTCTACATGATATATGACTGTTTACTTTACCTCAGAGCTTCAAAAGCTTTTTTCCACTATGACCCCATTACAAAGCTTGAAAATTATTCTAATCCCTCATTGAAAACTGTGACGTGGAAAGGAACAGACGAGAAGATCTAGGAATGGGGAGTGAAGATGATTGAGTGTGACGGGTTATTGGGGTGGTGGAGGGGCAGCTTTGTGGCACCCATTTCCTTGGATCTCTCAAACCCATAATTGAGCTTGTAGTTTGTTACAAGCCAGACCAGACCCCCTCAAAATACTTTAAGAATGTAGCCTAGACCCTAACGTTTGCTTATTTTAAAGGTAGATGTGAAGTGCATGTTCCAGATGCGACGCGACTGATCAAACCATTCAACGTTAAGCAAAACACAATGTACGTAAACACTATAGTTAAAATACAAACAAAAGAAAGAGGAATGGAGAATCACAACTATCGGAAAACTTAACTGAATAATAGATACAGTAACGATTACTAATTAACTGTTCCAATATAGTAATATCCCATAAACACATGCTTTGGCGAAACGGTGAATTCAGACACAGATTCTTAGATGCAATTCTCCAATCCAGGAGGAAACAATATCAAGAGAGATTTCAGAGAAAGGGGCAGTTAAGAATCATTTATTGGAGCTCCAACTCTTCTGGGACCCAAACAGCTTCTGACTGCTACAGCTTAAAAAAAGACAGAAAGCTTGATCTGTGAGATCTAGCCACACCCCTTCTATTGTTCCAACTGTTTTTCAAAAATACATGTAAAGACCTCCTGTGATTAGCCACTGGAGACTCAGTTTTTACAACCTCTCTCCAAAAAAAATCTAGGACAAAATAACCTTTTTTAAATTGACAGCACCGTCACATCTCCCCCTTTTTAAAAAGAAATGACCCCTCAACATACAAAGATGGCTTCATTTTAGTCTTACTCTGTTAGTACACTACAATACAAATACATTACATTGACTCTAATCATGCAGTCATTTACTGCTACATTCTATTTCAGTCTGTTTACTCCTGCGACTGAATGCCTCAGTCTTTCTTCATCCAAGTCACAATAAAGCATTGGTAATTACGTTTTCTTGTTCTGCCATGTGTATATGGCTACAATAATAAGCTCCATCTAAACAGTCTGGAATTTTTGTCCTTTAAATTTCTCCAAAAACTTGAATAGGTTATGATCAGTATATACAATTGTCTCATACACATTAATGGCAATTTCAGTGTTGCAACATCAACACCAAACTCAAGGTCTCCTCCTCAAGTGTGGAATATTTCTATTGATGAGTATTGAACTTTATGGGAAAATACCCTGTAGGTTTTCCATCTTCTCATCGTCGCTTTGTAAGAGTACAGCACTGACACCCATGTCACTTGCAGCGATAGCAACCTTGAATGGCTTTGCATAATTAGGTGTGGTGAACAGTGGTTAACACAGCTTTCAGGCTGTCAAATGTGTTCTGCTGTCCACTGAAATTTTCTGCACTCTTTCAATAGGTTTACTTCCTTAGATTCTTGAAATGTTGTCTGTAGGCTTCTGGCACTAGCTCATGCTCTTAAGATGGCTTTCTTCATCTCCTCATACTCCCCAGATAGTGATGTAAATACCCCACTAGATCTACCTACCAACTTTGTTTGGATCAACAAAACCCACATGATCACCGGCCACTTCATTAGTTTTGCCACTTTCTCGAATAAAATGGAAAAGGATTCTACATCATTATCGTCGAATTAAGGCAACGTTTGGACATATTTAAACAGATTCCCACTAGCCCATTGGCTACAATGGGTTGGTTTGTCATCGCTATCCTCCTCTCTAATCCTACCTTCTACCTTTTACCTCCATCCTTTTTAAGTTGACTTTCCTGTCTACTTGCCAACTTCTGAAGTTCAAACTCTAGTCTTTGTGCTTTTCTTCTCTGTCTTTCTCCCTTTCATCAAGGGCCTTCCTTTCCTTTTCATTTTGTTCTGCCAGGGCTGTTCTTTGTCTCTTTTTTTCTGCTTTTGATTGAAATTCAAATTGTGTCAGTTCCTTTTAATGTTCAAGCTGCTTCATCTGCATTAGAATTCTGACCAATTGCAAAGATTCCGATGGCATTTCCAGCAAACTTAAATGCCAAGCTACTGCTGTAATTACCTTCCTTTTTCTCACAAAGGCAACCCCAAGACCAGCTTGTCCACCAATTCCAACAGCTTTGCCTTGATCACCTTTTGTAAGACTCCTGAAGTCACTTCTTCCACCCCGGAAAACGCTGAGTGATAGAAAGAGCCATTATTACACAAACCATTACATTACATTATTACACACTTCTGAAGAAGGGTCTAGGCCCGAAATGTCAGCCTTCCTGCTCCTCTGATGCTGCTTGGCCTGCTGTGTTCATCCAGCTCTACACCTTGTTATCTCTCTGTTACACAAAGCATGCCCTGTTTAAACCAACCAAATTTAACACAGAAACAAAAGACCGAAACACGCACCACTCGCCACCTTTTGAGTCCAACAGCCCTAAACCCAAATTGGAATTATGGAGTTATATCTTGGATGAGCCCCCAATTTGTTATGGACCAGACTAGACCCCCCTCAAAATATTTTAAGAATGTAACCGAGACCCTAACTTTTCCTTATTTTAAAGATAGACGTGAAGTGCATGTTCCAGATGGTCAAATCACTCAACATTAAGCAAAGCACAATTTACTTAAACAATATAGTTAAAATACCAACAAAAGAATGAGGAATTTCGAATAACTTTACTGAAAAGCTTAACCAAATAATAGTTACAGTACCTATTACTACTTAACTGTTCCAATAGAGTAATATTCCATAAACATACATACCCCTTGGCCAAAAGGTAAATTCAGACACAGATTCTTAGATGCAATTCTGCAATCCAAGACAAAACAACATCGAGAGATTTCAGAGAAAGTAACAGTTAGGATTCACTTACTGAAGCACCAACTCTTCTGGGACCCAAACAGTTTCTTACTGCTACAGCTAAAAAAAAACAAAGCTGACCTGGGAGAACTGGCCACTCCCCTTGCATTATTCGAACTGTTTTTCAAAAAAAGACCTAAAGGCCTCCTCTGATTGTTGACTTAGGCCACTTGCCATAGCCACCTCTGGTTGCCTTTACAACCTCTCTTCAAAAAACCCAGGACAAAATTCACTTTTTGAAGTGACAGCATCGTCACAAGTCCCAACCTCCACCTTGGAAACCCTAATAAAACCTTCCTCTCCTCTTCTAAGGATCTTTCTGTATCACATGTAACAAAGCCATGTCATTGTAGTTGTTTTAGGAGATGAGGGACGTTGTGTTTTAAATTCCCTTGACTTAATAAAGAATATTGTATAATTTTATTTATCCTTTGTTTTCTGTTTTCATTTCCCATCTTGCATCGCAGTTCTTTTGCAAAGTTAATCAATAATATTCCTGCAACACTTATCTTTGGTTTTGCAGCTTTAAGTATTCGCTCTTACTGATGTTTTATAATTAATTTTGATTCATTTTTAAGTTCCAACAAGCTCTAGATTAGAATTCTGAAGAAATGAAGGAACCATTTGGTTCATCATGACTGTGATGGCGCTATGTATTAATGATTCTCATTCCAATTCGTATTTCCTGAATGGAAGTGCACGTTCCAAAGTACCATGACATTTTATGTACATTATCTAACTGCTACAGATCAGATAGAAAGTTGTGATGCAAGGAACCTTCCTGCTTCTACTGCTCATACTTGAACTGTTTTTCGCTGCTGAAGACCAGATAACCACTGGAACTGTGACTAAATACCAACTGAAACAGCTGAACATATTAAACAATCATTTTAAACTAAAACCTGAATATCCAAATGATAAGTGGGAGATAAAAGGAGTTGAGACAAAGAGCTCTGCTAAATCTGCTTGACCAAATGTGTTTCAACAGTTAAATATTACGCAGTGCTAAAAAGACATATCTTGGCGAATCCTTTTATCTTGCACTGGTCCGAATAATTGGAAGCATTCCTTCAGAAATATATTTTCCACAGGTTGTGACTGAGTTATTGAAATAATGTACATTGTGGCACTTATCTGATTATCCTATTATCTAGATTCTATTCATTTTCAGTCTTTAGCTGTTTAATTTGGGAAGTAGGAATCATTAGTTGAAAGAACGTAAATTATTTTGTTCCAGGTGGATGCCATTCCTCAAAACTGTGATATTAAAGAATTACTTTTTTTTTTCAAGAAAGTCTTCAGCAGGCAGGGCAGAGTTCTGTCTATTGTTGAGGTGGGGATCCTATGCCAGTTCTTAGAAGCAGGCTATTGTATTGAAATGCTGGCCCACTTACCTGATCAATCTCTGAAGAGATATATCCAATTTGTCATTATAACCTTGATAAACACTAAAGGTTAAAATGTTGTTTGGAGAGAGTCCAGATGGATGCTTTTCTGCTCAGAGCTTTATTCCAACACGCTCTCAAACCAACGCTGTACCCCACTGATGACTTGTTTTGCATGTACGGCCAGATAGGTTCTCAGCCAATTGCACAAAACCATCACCTGATCCCTTGATCCACATGCCCTCAGGCATCCTTGTCAGACCTTACTAGTTATAAACATCACAACCTGCCTTTCTCTTTACAAGTTCTAATAGGTGTATTTGAATTTCCATTAGTTTGTATTTTTTCTTCTTAAGGTGATGGTTATGCTGCATTAAATTATCCATGTGGAAGTTTAGATTGTATTCCAAATATGGCAAATGTACAATTCATTCCACAACTGTTTTACTTCCTGCGGTTTGAGAGAGTAGCTTAGCTTGAAAATTGAAAACTTCTACTGCCACCATCTCTTCACATTGAGCAAACTTCCCATCTCTTCCTTCGTTTCACTTCAGCTTATTCTCCTCCTCCTCAAGCTTGTTTATCCTGTTGATTCCTTTTCAAACCAAATGAGGCCTAGGTATTGACCAAATTTACAGAGAACTGTATCGTCATTGACAGTATTATTAAATGTTTGGTTTGCTATAAAGAACAATTCTTTACATTTACATGTTATCTTTAGGTAACTTTCCGGACCAGAATCTATCACTGCAATATTAACAGTCAGGGAGTAATCTGTCTGGACATCTTGAAAGACAACTGGAGCCCAGCTCTGACCATTTCAAAGGTTCTACTTTCTATTTGCTCACTCCTGACAGACTGTAATCCAGGTAAGAAAACTAGGACCCAAATAATTGCACTTGATAGCTCATTTATTTGAGAAACTTTTCAGACATGTGTTTGTGGAACAGGTCATGTTGTAACTCTAGCATTTTCAAATTAAATTGGAAGCCTATGAATGGAAATTGCAGTTGAGGGCATTTAGAGTCAGTAGCCCCACTTATTTGCCTTGAACTGTTCAATTGACGCTTGATCCCTCCAGTGCCTTGCCTCTCCAGAAGGTAGCCTCTTTAGTTCCTTCTACAATACATTAGTGGCTTTCAATAGTAACTCGTTCAGGAGGTTTTTCTCACAAGTACAATCCAATATTCTTGCTTCTAAATTCCTAATGCCTCCTAGTAGCCAAACTATTGTGTTTTAATTTGATTATCTCAAACTTGCTTCCAAAGAGAAATTCAGCTTCCTTTCATCTTTCATTATACAATGTAGTCATTATCGTTTCCACTACATAATATAAAGAGCAATAATATTCTTTTTTTTATAACTCACTACATGAACTTGGAGCATTTCTGCTACAAAAGGTGACCCATAATATCTGTCAGCTCTTTAGAAGAGCAATTAAACTAGCCCTACCCAACTATTTATTTTCCTGTAGTCCTGCACATATTTTTCTTAGGTGCTCATCTAATTTCCTTTTGTAAACCAGATTGACTCTTCCTTCACCATGTTAGAATGCTCTACAGTGCCTGCGAAGCTTACATTAGTCGTCCCAGATTTTTTCATGTTATGAATACATTTTGATTCTGGAGAAGTCATATGACCCTAGTCTAAGCTGAGCTGGTGAGTAGAGGCTTTGAGAGCAAGAGGCAAAGAGCTGTGACAGTTAGGGTCTATTGATGGGCCTTTTGGTGAGATTGAGAGAAAAGTAGGTGAGTCCTGAAGGAGAGGATTGGAGAGTGGGCAGAGAAGTTATTTTCCCCAACTATTTTAGATGCTTTGTTGGATATGGTGATTAGGTCTCTGACCTTACTTTCTCTGGTCATGCCCCTGAACTACTTCAAAGAAGAAAATTGATGTTCTCATCTGTCATCAGACGAATACCAAGACTGATCCCCTGCAAAGTGAACACTGAGTGGGCATCATTGCTCAGAGGAGAGCTAGTTTGGACCCTAGCCCCAGACTTCATGGTCGATTTATTTCATTAAAAAAAATTTGTGACGGGTGAGCCGACTACTCTTGACAACTAGTTTTCAAAGCTGGTTTTATTTTCACTTCTCTATGCCTCATCGTGGAGGTGATGTTTAGCTCAAGTCAGTAGCTGTGGTGGAAGATTTCATTTGAAGCTACAGGCCCTATGTTTTTGATAAACTTCTAACTAATTCATAAAGTCCCCTACTTGTACAAAATTTCTTGCTAGCCAATATGAAATGCCAAAACATACTGCAAAGCTAGGATTATTGGCGCAGTTTATGGTGAACATAGCATTCTTTCATAGGAGGGATGTTGGATGAATGGAGATTTTGCAAAGGGCCATGCCTGCGGTTTGCAAATTCTGAAGTTGGCTCACAAACTGCAGTCAGCATTATTGATCAAGATTCTAGAATTTGCATCTTTTATGCTTCCAAGTTACACGGTTTCTATCAGTAGCAGACTTTTGACCTACAAGTTTGGATCTCTGGTCAAGTATTAAAGGTAATTTAGGATTTCTTGAGGCTTAAGCTCAAAGTCCATTGCAATAAATGTTTCTTTTTCCCCAAACTGGTACAATCATACGTTCCGCAATAAATATGGAAATATATCTTCTGACTTGTACATTTTTCTATATCTGTTGGTTTTAAAGAATTCTATTGCAAGCTACATGCTGTGCAATAAATCTTGGATCACCGAAAAATAGATGAACCAATATCTCTAGCAGTTGGCCAGTTGTGTAGGCTGTGGGGTTGTAATTGCAACACAATAACAAAAGGTTAACACATTTTGCCTCTGGGAGACTTGCCATTGGGATAAGTGTAATTTGAAAAGTCTATCAAAATGATATCTTGTAATATTTTGGAATTCTTGCAATGTAAGGTAATGTTAAAGCAAATTAGTTATTTCCAGTGTAATCAGTTAGCACAGGAAATATATTTTAAAATCATTTTGTGATAAAACATAAGTCTTACTGAATGGTTTTCCTGTCATGGCCCCTTGATATTCCTGTGCTGGAATCTTGTCAAAATCAGTGTTCCTTTCACACAGTATATAGACACAAAGGAAATACTTAATCAGAACAAAAAAAATTCCAGAGATATCTACTGGACTGTTAACAAAAAGTAAGCATAAAATAAAACTTGTAATTGCAACCAATGATTTATCCCAATTGACAAGTCTGTTTTATTGTTTGGGATTCCAAGATTTTTTTTCAAACATCCGTGAAGTTAAATTCTCAGTTTTAGTTTTTTTTGTCTGTTTAATAAATGGTTTTGATCCTTGTTGCCTGCAATGAAGAAACTAGAACAGTTAAAGGCAATCAAGGTTTTGTGTCTGTGTGTTCCTCACAATATGGCCACATAATAATCATGACGTTTTACGCAATGTAAATTTGAAGCCTTTATAAACACTATTGTGGACATCTGCATCGATGTTAGTTCCTTTTTGAGCCATGATATTGAACTTAGAATTTATAATGACAAGCCATGATGATGTCTTTGTTGCCGTTCTGCATTTGATCCTTTTTCATAGGTACAGTTGTGAGAGTCACTTGGGTTTATTTGTCATATTGCTTTTCTGCCCATACTTGCCCCAGGGCCTTGCCATTTTGATGATCAATTTGCAAGTTCTTTTTTGTTTAAAACTCCTGTTTTTAAGCTGCCAGTGACACTAGCCCATTTGAACATCACCATTCAGATTTGTGGAAAAGTAAGTTTAAAAATAGGAAACATACCTCGTCCTCTCCTCATCACTATCAGACTGACCTTGAGCTGGTGAATATGACTGATTGACCTGTTTGTGAATAGTTAGTATAATTACTGTTAACTCCAATTAAGGTAGCAATCTAAGACTGTCTGATGTCAGTAATCCGAGGCAGAACTTTAGTTTTAAACAAAAATGTCTTTATGGCAGTCATGAAATGAAATCTGGCACAGGAGTAATTTTTGTGATCATAGAGACAAGAAACAAATTTATCCACTGACACACTGAGCAGTGCTGAAAGATACTTGCTGCTGGCAAACAAATATTTAATGTGGTGTTTGCTCATTTATCTCATGACTTTTTGTGGGATATTGTGTTCTAATTGGTTACCATGTTTCCTTATGTTGCAACAGTAACTGTATATCAAGTTCTTTCAGTTTTCATGCCCTTTGGTCCATTTGGAAGTCTGGAAGTTGTTATATTGCGGCAAGTTTGTTTGCCATGTATGTACATCTTGTTTTTATGATCCTTAGCTATTTACTGCTTACTGAATTTCTGTTATTCCTATCTGTGGGATTTAAACTTAAGACTATCGATAATTAGCATTTGCTTGTCTTTAACTCACAAGTTAAGAAAGTTATGGGGGTGTGACTGATGATGTGGTTCCAGAATAGATGCTAGCACTGAACCCCAGCTCTGATACCTACCCCACCATTTCCACACCTAAAAAGACTATTTCCATACCTTGGACCACTCTCTTCATATAAAGAGCTAGTGGTATAGAAGTCGTGTCAATGAACAAGTCTTCCAGAATTGCATGCTTAAAGTCTTAAGGATATAGTTTCAAATCCCACAATGGCAGCTAGTGGAATTCTGATTCAATTAAATAAATCAGGAATTGGAAACTATGTTCAGTGACTCTGTTTACACTTTGATTATTGACTATATTTATGGCATTCATTTTGTGAAAATCCACTTGGTTCACTAGTGTCCTTTAGGGAAGGAAACCTGCCATCCAACTAATGGGTCTGGTATATGAATGACTCTACAGCAGCAGCCATGTAGTTGATTTTGAACTGCCCTCTGGAAATGGTTAGTGAAGATTCTTACATCAAAGGCAGTTGGGGAAACACAGCAAATGATGGCCTTGACAATGATGCCGACATCTTATCAAAGAATAAAGAAACCACCCACCTCCTGTTAATCCCCCACAAACGAATGCATTCCACAGTAGTTGTTGAACTCTTAACACCTTTCTCCTTCTGCCAAGCCTCACTTTCCCCTTGGTTCCTCAACACCGCCTTCTTAACCTCATGCTTCCCCAACTTCTCAACAAACATTATTTGCAACTCCCCTGTCATCTTCACCATCTATGTGTGTGTGTGTTTTAGTTTAATAAAACAGCATGCTTAAATAGTATGTTAATAATCGAGCATTTTGGAATTGAAAATGTAAGTAACAATAGAACTTGATCAAAATATAGTACATGCACTTCCACAACAAAATACAACAACAAACACCATTGTCATAAAATGCAGTTATTAACACGTGTATCAGGGGCTCTGTTAACGCTTATTGATTCTGTTGACTAACTACAAAACAGTGCCATGGCAAAAATGTGCAGGTCGTCTAAAGATGATACTGTAAAACATTTCCCGTTCATCAAAGAAAGGTATAAATGAACAGATACGTAAACTAAGATAAAAGGACTCTCAGGAAGCTAGAATGCTGAAATTGACCTGTCTGTACGATTAATTCATAGCTTGTGTGTGACTTGTAACAATGGCTACAATAGTGTTTGTGAATCTTCTGTAACATTACTCATGGTGAATTGTTTGATATTAACCATATTACCTGTAACAGTATTAAATCACCTCATCAGTTCTTTGACTTATGATGAACTTGTCAAATTTTATGTTTTTACGTTTTGATCTAACCCTTCTAACCCTTCTGAAAACGCCGTTGATCTTGATTCCCTGTATGCTATACCAAAGGAGATTAACTTGTCATTTATGAAACTTAGGTCTGAGTTTATGCATTCCATTGAGGCTGCATTACTATTATGACATTATTAGAAATGTTCATGTGTTTTTGAAATATTTTAGCTTTTCAGTTATGACAGACAGTGAATAAAACAACATTTTCTAATTGTATGCCT